ATGTTTACCAGTTTCTACTCATTCAAAAGCATCACTGAAGAGGGAGAACATCTAGTTACCATCTTCTTATTAATATTTAATTTGTATATCTGTGTGTAATACACATAATATATGAAATATATTCATAGTAATGTTTGCTAAAGATGTACTTTTTTCTCTATAAATGAACTCTTCAAATATTAAATCTACAGGTGAATAGAATTTTAAAGGCAAATAATACAGAAGATACTAAAGAAGAGTGTAATAAAATATTATTGTCACCGACTGAAGCAAACTTAGAGTCAAAATGACCAAAAGCACAAGAATAAAACCATTACATGTTACACATAAACTTGCACAGCCCCTAACATTTGACTATTTTGCTTACATAGATTATACAAGAGGAGAAAGCATAGCAAGTGAATAATGTGAAGCGTACATAACAGCCTTCAATTTACAATGAAATGATGCTCGGTAAGTTTATCTGCAAGGTGATTACCCCAAACTCAGAGCATAGTTTCGTTTTACCCCAACATTATATTGTTAAAAAGTTGAAAAAATTTTACAATGAATAAGTGTATCCTCCCCCACCTAGATTCTCCTACTAACATTTGCTATATTTACTGTATCATATATCAATAATTACATTTCCCCTCTGATGGAAGGCTGCTGTTCTATGTCACATAAATTAAATTAAGCTTACAGGATGGCACTAATTTACATTAAGTTGTTGAACCTTCTCCAAGGTTTGCATTTGTGTAACAGAAAACTCAGAAATGAGAGAAAGTAGAAGAAGCAGACTATTCATAATATTATCACCAACACAATCACTGTACTAGTAAATACTGTTGCTTTGCATAATTCTTATTTTCATATAATAGCAATTATATTTAGCATTTTTCATAAAATTTACATAATTTTTTCTGTAATTTTAAAGGAGCAACAGCATATTGAATGTATTTGGCTATTACTTAACCATTCACTTGGAATATAGCAGTTAGGTAGTTCTTATATCATAAAAATGCTGCCATGAATTACTTGGTGCTTCATTTTCCCCCTTACCTGTTTTTCCTTAGATTCAGAAGTGGAATTACTGTTTCAGCAGGAAGAAATATATTGATATTTATCCAATTCATATTATGTATGAAAACACTCCATTTTTGTCTGTTAAAAAATCTACTGTTGATACCTAAGGATGGTAAATTACAGTGATATCTTCCTTTCGATATTTAGGATCTGTCTCTTTCTTATTCATTTCAGCAAAAAAATTCTATTTCATACTTTTTTTACAGTGTAAACTCTAATAATCCAAATATATGGTATGCTTTGGAGGTGTGTAGAAAAAAATAGCTAGGGGTATCCGTTGCTACAGATGGAAATTGAAAGATAGGAAAATGGTCACACTCTGTACTAGAGATCCATTCATTTGTCACAGAGATAAATTAAGCTAACCTGTCCTGAACTCTAGTGCTGTAAGTTCCCACTTGATTTTGAGTTCATGCCCATAAGCTATGCAAGTTATGGGACATAAAAATATAGAAACATTGAGGGTAATTTATGGCAGCTTTTAAGTTGATGTTGCAATGTAAAAGTTGCATAAGAGTGAAAAGAGAAATGAATTAAATAGGATGGGAAAAATTATTGGGTGAGAAAGAAAATGAAAAAAGGTATCGGGCAGATTCAAGGCTAGAAAAAGCAGTACTTTAACCACCAAAGGCAGAGAAACATCCACACCTGTCTGAGGTTCCATATTCTAAGGTCATTGCACTATTATAATCTTTGCCTTTGCTTCTATAACAATCTTGTAACTGTAATTAAAAACTGTGCTAGCACAATGGAGGGAATTTCCTCAGACTCTTATTAATAAAAACTATTTGGGTTCCTGGACACGATCATCTAATTCCAAGGTCATAAAGCAACTTTTGCAAACCTTTTCGGGGACTACCATCAGAGAACTGCCATTTCACTGTCAAAAACACAGGCTTGATACAGAGTACTACATCATAAAACATTACACTAAATCCTGGACACTGCCTGCATATGTCTATCCCCAGCCCTAAGATGCATCATTAGAATTCAACCATCACTACCTAACATCTAAATTAATTTTTAAAACATTTTATGAATACATCACATCGATGTGCTGTTAATTCCCTTCCCTATTTGCTACGTTTCCTCATTCTTAATGGAAATGCTCATCGATTACTTAATCTCATTATGCTCTTGCTAAGTGAATTAATATGCTTAGGATGTTAAATTGAAGGATTCCTGCTCATCTGTCCGAACTTTATAATTTCACCAGGTTGACAGATTAATTTCCAAGAAAAAGCCATTAGCACTAGTCTCCTCCCTGCTATTAAACATGACATGTGAAATAAAAATAATTGGAAACAGCTGGACAAGACTTTCCAGGGTAATATTTAAGGATTATGCCCAATGAAACATTAATCTGTAGTATTATGTTGGAATTAGTTTTGCTATACAGTTTAAAGTTCAACTTAACTTTTGGAGAATTGTCACATCTCACTAGAATGGAATTTACAGCTATGAAAAAAGTGGCAGATCGCCACTGATCTTAGCCAAACAGAATAAAAAAGGAGACTAGAAACTTAGAAGTGATGAAAGTAAAAATAAAAAGATAGATAATACACTTTCATTATAAGTGCCTTTTTGTTACAAATCATTGCCATTTTTCTAAAAATCAATCAAATTTTAGTTTGTATTTGGAAATCGCTGAGCACACTAGCTTAAGTTTAAGAAATATTACAATTTCATTTCCTAATATTTAAAACTATTACAAGCCAACCTGACATTTAAAAGGAAGCACTGAATTCTTAAATCTTAGCATTGCATACTGAAATATTTACAGATAAATTGATAAATCTAAGATTTGATTAATAATCCAGCATAGTGGGGGATAGAGAGGACTAGAGAAAGCCAAATGAGCCACATGTTGATAATTATAGAAACCAGCGAATAAGTACATGAGAGTTTCATATTCTTTTCTCTACCTCATATGGTCATTCTTCACAAAAATAGGTGTTTTTTTTAATGACACAACTCTAGAATACGTATTGCAAATACCTCTAGTAAAAAAACATATGTAAACATATGTGTGAGAGGGAAACAAGGAAAGAATACAAAATACTAAAAATACTGTTTCCTAATAGATAAGAATGCACTCACTCCACATACTGGTTAGTTTATTGAATAACCAGAAGTTGTTGAGCACATATTATGTGCCAATGACCAATGACATAAATGCTGAGGACACCAAGAAAAGCAAAATCACACACTCACCCCTTGTGAGGTGAACAGATATTCAAAGAAATAAGTACAGCCTATACAGTAGGTCATGTGAAGGATTATGAATAATACTATGGAGAAGAGGGAAGAACAACCCAATCCTTAACGGTAAGATCATAATAAATTAATGACAGAGCAGGGGCTAGAACACATGTTTTCTTATTTCTGATTTAAAGCTGTCTTAAGGATACAGGGAACACAACTATAGAAAATATAGGAACCGTTACAGAAAATATAGGAACAAATTGTGGGAAATAATCTAGAAATTTATTAGACAGCAACTCTGGGGCCACATAGTTTCTCATCTTCACACACTTTTCCACCTTTGTTTCCATTTCTTTCTGCAAACCAGCTTCTCCACTCACTTACCTGCTTTTATATGAACTATATCACAGCTCTCCTGAGAGAAACATCTGCATAATTCTAATCCCATCTCCTATACTTCATGAACTTGATCTCTACCTGATTCCAAATTCCTTGGAGAAGAACTTTATGAGTCTCATTGGCTTTAAGTACCTGCAAATAAACTGATATGGGAGAGGGAGGAGGTCATTGGAGCTCAGCCCTTTAGGCTGTGAATGAGGTGTGGTATCTCAGAAATGAGTCTTGTAATGGTGACTGTCTCCTGGGGAAGGGCTGTTTCCACTACTTTCTCGAGAACTGTATTATGGAAATTAATACGACCCTAACATAAAGCTCCCTGAAACTGCTTAAAAGGAAAGATCTCTGGTAAACTTAAATTATACCATTTTTAAAATAAGGTTGTCTTTTGAAAAAAATTAAATGATAAAGCACCATAAGTTAAGAAAGATATCATGTCCATTGTTTTTACAAAAGAGGTTGATTGATACTTTTTGAAAGGTTGCCCAGACAAAAACAATGGCAACAACAAAAACAGCACAAAATATAGGAGAAAGTTTTGGTCATTTTAATATTTCCTCAACCCAGATTTCTTAGTATTCATAAAGAAGTAGAATATAGATACAAATGTTATGGTCTCATTATACTTATATTTCATAAATCTATAGAATTATATGATATTGAATTAAGAAAAGAAAATGATTTTAAATGCAGGAAAATATAACTAATTTTGCCTAAATCATGCATTGATTTTAACAAAATAGAGCGTGTGAGTAAGTATGGTAAAAAAAATAGTATTAAAAATTATGTATACTTCATTCTCTTTGCCAGGAGCAGTTCGGTTGACTCTTATCTAATACTTCATAATAGGAAACTATTCCAAAATACTTTGCAGCAATAATGAGTCCCCAGAAGCTATTACATGTGCAAAAACTAATCTCAGACTAGCAGAGAGGGAATTAGGAAGAATTTCATGCTGGAGAAGAGATAACCCTGAAATATCTTCTTGCCCATAGAATATGGAAATAAAATGATATTGCACATAATTGTATCTTTATTTCTATTTTCTCATTCTCTTATTTTAGCAATTAGTAGTAATTATAAGGTAACAATGAAAACAAAACTGAGTCAAAAAAGACAATAAAAAATAAGAACACCGATAAAATATTAGAGATAAAGGAAATGGAACTCTTATACATTATTGAAGGGGAGATAAAGTGGTATAAGCACTTTAAAAACCTGTTCTCCAATGTTATATATACATATATACAAAGCCACATGTGCATATAACCTGTGATCCAGTAATTTCATCTCTAGATAGGCACACCTGTGTGAAGCAAGATATCTTAAGAATGTGCATAGCTTTATTCTTAATGGTCCCAAACTTGAAACAACACAAATGTTCATCACAATAGAATAGATAAATGAATTAATACAAAATGATTAGAAATGCACTGAGAATAAGCAACCTCTTTCTAAATTAGAAAAATTCTCACAAATATAATTTTCAGCAAAAGTAGCCAGACACAAAAGGATATATACTGTATGATACCTTTTATGTGAAGTTCAAAATAGTCAAAACAAACTATAGTGAAGGAAATCAAAGTATTGTTTACCTTTAGGTGTGGGTTCTACAGGTTTATACATTTATAAAAATTGATCTAGCTCTACACATAACATTTTAGTTCACTGTAATTATGCTATACTTAATAAGGAAATAATTTAAGGAAGCATAGAAGACATAACTGCATCAGTACTGAAAATAGCTGTAGAAGTATAACAATGCAGAATCAATATTGCAGAAAATATAATCCATAGGGTCAAATCTTCCACAACCCAGAGGGGAACAAAAATGAAGAAATAAAAGCGATCTGTGAGAAGATATGAATGTGAAAGACATATAATGGTGATACAATCTATATTTATATTTTTGAAATAAGAACATAAATAGAACTGAAAAATAGTCAAATATATAATAAATGAAATCTTGACTACAGTGAAAATGTGAATGTTCAGATTAAAAGCATTCATTGTGTGGTAGGCAAAATTGACAAAATACAAAATCTAGAGAGTTGGGTGAAGTATTACATTTTAAGGATAAATTAAGGATGCTACAAGTGTCTGCTCATCAGTATGACTCTCCAGATGTCTACCTTCATCCATGTTCTTCCTTGAAAACTTGGCAGAACAAGAAGACACTCACTAAGGACAAAAATCAAACTGGTGCCAGACTTCTCCGTGTACAATATTAGATGCCGGAGATGGAATAATAGCTGGAGATAATTGACAGGGAGTTTGACTCCAGAATTCTATTCTCAGCACAATTGACATTTACTTAATAAAGCAACATAAAGATAGACATATAAAGAAAGCCCTGGCTGGTGTGGCTCAGTTGATTGGACATCGTCCATGCACCAAAAGATTGTGGGTTTGATTCCTGGTCAGGGTACATGCTCGGTTTTTGGGCTCCATCCCTGGTGGTGGGCATACAGGAGGCAGCTGATCCATGTTTCCCCCTCACACCAATATTTCTCTCTCTCTTCCTCTCCCTTCCTCTCTCTCTAAATAATCAATATTTAAAGAAACAAATATACAGCCTGGCTGGTTTAGCTCAGTGATTGAGCATCGACCCATGAACCAGGTCTTGGCCCAATTCCAGTCAGGGCACATGACCAGGTTGCTCAATCCCCTGTGTGGGGCATGCAGGAGTCACCAATAAATGATTCTCTCTCATCATTGATGTTTCTATCTCTTTCTCCCTTTCCATTCCTCTCTGTAATAAAAAATACAATTTTTAAAAAAAGGTTATTTGGATCTAGAGGGGAAATGGACCTAATATTTTTTCTAGATGTATTACATATGTTGTGTCATACCTCCTCATAACACTGTTCTGCTATATGGATATGGATATGGATAATTACCCCTATTTTCAAAAATGTGAAATTAGAGCTGCAAATATATTTTAATTGGCTTATTACAGTCATTAGTTTTTAAATCTAGATCTAATGCAGCCTTTAAAGTTATTTCACTTTCTCCCTTGCAATCTTTCAGTTTTAGCCTTAGAAAAAATAGAATTCAAATGAACAGTGAAGTGAAATTTTACCAAAAATATAACTTACATTATTAAAAGACAAGAAGAAAAATTAAGATAAGCATTTTGCTGCAAAACTTATCAGAAACTATAAAAATGAATTCATTACATAAACTATTAAAAAGAAAGTAAGTGAAAAAAGAAACCATCAACAAAACAAAGAAAGCCCACTGCATGGGAGAACATATTTGCCAATGTTATCACCAATAAGGGTTTAATATCCAACATTTATAGGGAACTCATACAACTTAACAAAAGGAAGATAAACAACCCAATCAAAAAATGGGCAATGGACCTAAATAGATACTTTTCAAAAGAATACAGAAGGAAGGCCAAGAGACATATGAAAACATGCTCAAAGTCACTAATCATCCAAGAGATGCAAATCAAAACGACAATGCAATACCATCTCACACCTGTCTGAATGGCTATCGTCAACAAATCAACAAAGAACAAGTGCTGGCGAGGATGTGGAGAAAAAGGAACCCTCGTGCACTGCTGGTGGGAATGCAGACTGGTGCAGCCACTGTGGAGAACAGTATGAAGTTTCCTCAAAAAACTAAAAATGGAACTCCCATTTGACCTAGTGATCCCACGTCTAGGAATATATCCCAAGAAACTAGAAACACCAATCAGAAAGGATATATGCACCCCTATGTTCATAGCGGCACAATTTACAATAGCTAAGATTTGGAAACAGACTAAGTGCCCATCAGCAGATGAGTGGATTAGAAAACCGTGGTACATCTACACAATGGAATACTACGCTGCAGTAAAAAAAGAAGGAACTCCTACCATTTGCAACAGTGTGGATGGAACTGAAGAGCAGTTATGCTAAGTGAAATAAGCCAGTCAGAGAAAGATAAATACCACATGATCTCACTCATTTATGGAATATAATGAACAACATAAACTGATGAACAAAAACAGAGACAGAGACAGAGAAGCATTGATCAGACCATCAAACCTCAGAGGGAAGGTAGGGGAGGGTGGGGGTAAGGGGGAGAGATCAACCAAAGGACTTGTATGCATGCATATAAGCATAACCAATGGACACAGACAACAGGGGGGTGAGGGCATGAGTGGGTGGGTTGGCGTGATAAAGGGGGGATAAGGACACATATGTAATACCTTAATCAATGAAGAAATTAAAAAAATAAGTAAAATGTAATACTTAGCAATTATAACATCTTTTTTATCCCAAAATCCTTATTAACCTATGTAAAAGAAGAATAAAATCTTCACAAAATGGAAATACTAAGAGATTGAATAAGTATACCTGCAGTAACTTGATGCTAACTACCCAGAATTAGGGCAGGCTTCACAGGTTAAGGACACAGTCAGTGCTGCACACCACTCTCCTCACTCCAGACACCAGACACCATCTTGAGAGTTCCCATGCTACCCACACTTCTGATCAACTGGCTAAACGTTTGGGGATTTCCATTACCCCTTAGGTTCAATAACTTGCTAGACTAATGCATAAAATTCAGGAAAGCACTATATTAAAAATTATAGTCTTACTACATCAAAAAAGGATACAAATCAGGACCAACAAAAAGAAAGAAGAGACACATGGGAATAGTCTGGAAAGTCCATTCTCCCTCCCCACACTCACACAAAGAAGCTTCCAGTGACCTATTCCTGTGGAGTCATGCTGAATCACCTCACAGCACACTGATGAGTAACAATATGCACAGAGGATCATTCACCAGAGAAGCTCATGTGGGCATCAGGGTCCCAAGATTTTATTAGGGTCTCATTATGTAGGCATGATCATAGAATTATTGCCCATGTAATTAAACTCAATCTCCAGCTTTTTCTTCCTTCCCAGGAGGTCAGGCTGGATGATGCGGTTCAAAGCCCAAACCCTCTAATTACATGGTTGATATTTCTGGAGTGGCCAGCCCCTATCCTGAGTCATACGGTTAGCACAAATAATCAAGGGGCTATCCACAGTGGCCTCATTAGCATAAACTATCAAGAACTACCAATAACAAAGACAATTCTATCACTTGGGAACTTCCAGAGTTTCAGGGGCTACCTCCCAAAAACTGGAGACAAAATCCAGCCAAAAATTTTAATTGTACAATAATATATACAGCACTTTACTTTGTACCCAGAATATATATTGCTGTCATTATTATTGTTGTTAATAATGTTCACAGGACACTAATTTGAAAGGGACAATTAAAAATACGTCTATGATTTATCTTCTAGCCTCAGGGACAACTGAGAATTTGACATTTATTAAAATTCTCCTTGCACATTAACTCAAGGAATCATAGAAGCATACTAGACATGGATTAATGAGAATTCATGCAAGGTTATTATTTTACAGACCATGCACTTGCACTTCATTGTTGGCTTTATTGAGTAACAAGAACAGATTGATATTATGCTGTACTGGAAAATGGGTGTCAGTCATGTCCATCCAAGGAGGTCATCATATACATCTTCAAAGTATAAAAGCTGAAAGGATGCACAGAACATATTGTTTCCTTCTATTTAGGTGGTTCATAGTCACCTTGTCTCATTTCTTGTGACCAGATTCATCTAAAAAATAAAGTAAGAATATAAAAAAGACACACGTAAGAATCCCAAAACCTCTAATTTGTTGTTCCTGTTCATGCAGTGTAGCCTGCTACACATCCTGTTTTAAAGATAAATAAACTTAGTCCTGGATGAATCCTATTTGACCTGTAATTTAAGAGTCAGTTGGAACCCAAGAGCACCGCTTCCACTCAAGTGACTGGGTGTCACACTAAAATTATCTGAAACACTGGGAGCTCACATTTTCAAATATATGAAAAATTTACAGAAATCTTAGGAAAGCAAATTGAACAGTGCAATAATACTTTTAATGGTGAGAAACCATCTCAAATGGGCTTAAACATAAAAAATTATTATCACAATAAATCGAAAGTCTAGCAGTAATGTGAACTTCAAGTAATATTCCTTATGGGTCCTGTCTCTGTTATCTGATACAAATTCCTCTTTTGTGTGCTAGCTGACTTTGACATGGGTATAGAATAGGTGTAGTTATTCCCAGTATGATTCTCATAAAACCAACCAGAGGAAGAAAATATCTCTTGATTAAAAATATCAAGTGAAATTCATGGTACTCACTCTATAAAAGCTTAGATATTACAGCACTCCTTTGACTGTTCAAGGTCTAGATCTTACAGCTAACCCTGAACAAAGGAGTTCTGTATGTTAATAGCTTAGGCCCAGCCTCCATGTTCATCCTAAACCAAAAATTGCTATATGGGAAATAGAGTTAAGGTTGTTGGATTGTTTTCATTTGTTTGCTTTAGGGATGGGGTGAGCATAGATATAATATCCTATATAATAAAGAGCTAATATGTTAATGGTTGTCATGTCCTCACACCATCACATCGTAATGGCTCAGACACTCAACACTGGGAAGAGAGAAATGGGGACCAGCCAGGCACAAATGAGCTTGCAAGAGAGGAATGGGGACCAGCCAGTCTGTGGCCCGGGAGAGGGATAAGCTGCCTGCCCTGTGGTCCTGAGCACCTGCAGCTGTGGCCCAGGCAAAGCCACCTGCCCACGGTCCTCTGAGGCTGTGGACGGCCTGGGTGAAGCCAGCCCAGGTCCTGGGTGCCTGCGGCCGGCCGGAGAAGGGAATCCTGGGTCCCAGGTGCGGGGTGAGGCAGAGGTGGTTAGGGGCAATCAGGCCATCAGGGGAGCAGTTAGGGGTGATCAGGCAGGCAGGCAGAGGTGGTTAGGGGCAATCAGGCAGGCACAAGTGGTTAGGGATGATCAGGCAGGCAGGGAGAGGGGTTAGGGGTGATCAGCCCCTGAGGGGTCCTGGATTGGAGAGGGTGCTGGCTGGTCTGAGGGATACCTCCCCCCCTCCCCTGGGCTGTGCATGGAATTTTGTGCACCCGGGCCTCTAGTGTATATGTATGTATATATATAATAGATCTGTCTTTTCTTTCTAAGTTAAGAAATAAATGGAAAACACAAAAAAGGAGTTAGACATATGGAGAGAAAAATGTCAGCCTGTTTACATATAGACTGACTAGAGAATATGGCTTAGAATGTGGCCCAGTGACTTGGCTCACATTCCAATCAGAGATCTCTGGAGACTCTCATTAAGGCAAAGCCTTTTCTAAGTTTATCCATGCTGCTTTGCTGAGGGGGAGAAAATATAACAACGGAGAAATGAGTTGAGTTCAGAACACTTGGTCTCTTCTTCCAACTCACAGTCAGCTATCATTCTCTTTCCATAGGAAAGACTGAGTGAGGAGTGGAGAGTGTTACTCTACCTGAAATCTGTCCATATGGAAAAATAAAGCCAAGACCTTAAATATTGTTCACCTTCTTCATTGCCAATGATGGTGATTAGCTTGGGTTGATAAGGGCCTATCCTTTTAAACAACTTAACTAGAAAATCTAAATTCTTGTTAACAGCGGGTGAGGACAAAACTGATGCCGGGGAGTTCACTGGCTCTATCCACCACAGACACATTAAGAATATATCATGGCAAAGACTTCCTGAAAAACATGGCAGGCACATACATTTATCCCTGTTCCCTTCCCAAACCTCCCCAAACTTGACCAAAATGGTACCTATATATAAAATTATTAACTCACAAGGAAAATGAAAATGATAAAAATAAATAAAAACACTCTAGTGAAGTTAATACAATGTTGGCAGTATATGGATAGAATAATAGCAACAGAAAGCTAAGTAACTTCATGGAGAGAAGCCAGGGTCAATATGCCAATTCATGTCACAAAACTACAGAAAGACTCAGGAATTGAAGGTACCCACCATCTCCAGAAATCTGGGGGTAAGGCATAAAACAGAAAGATTGGTAGAAAGTCTGAAACAAAAGTATTGGAACCATAGATACTATTTTTGAGGCTGTACAACAATGTGATTAACCAATACTCTCCATAGCTGCAGTGTTGATTTCTACAGAAGATGCCCCCAACAGCCGAGAAACAGCTGACAAACAGGATGAGATGTTGTACTGTCAAAGAAGGAATAAGTGAAGTGAAAGTATGATTGCTGAAATTTGAGAACATTCCTCCAAACCCCTCAATACCCTGACAACTACCTCGGGTTGAAGAATGCTGGGAAAACTGACTAGCTTATAGGAAATGTTGAGCATCCCTTTCTAATCACCTTTCAGTAAATGCCAGAAGTCCGCAAGCTAAAGCTGATAGAGCTTTCCATGAGCATCTCGGTAAACTCTTGGATATAAATAGATAGTTTAAGTCAATAATATTTGAGTAAAGCTTCAACTTTTATTGAAGCTATTCTTCTTTTCAGATTAAAGAAATAATTGTATATGGAGTAGAATGGTAAAATAATTTATCATGATCTAAAAAATTTTCTTGGTCTGAACCATGAAATTTAATGGGACATTATTAACATTCTGGTGAAATATATGTGGTTAGCTCTATCAATTTTTGAGAAAATTTAGCATTTTTTCAATGCTCAAGAACAATGATGAGCTACTTATAAATTTTGTTGAAATAGTGAAGTTGTTTAATGAAAATGATTTATTTTATTTTGTATAATTATTTCACGACATCAAAATACATTCCTGGTTTTCTGATTTTTGCCCAATATCAGAGAATGTTCCTGGAAGCAGTTTTATTTTATTTCATAAAGTCTTTGCTGTGTCCCATTAGAGTCTAAAGATTCATGCTTATAACAGAAACATCTGTCATTATCCAAGAGATTCCAAGAGAGTATTCCAAGAGATTCCTATAACAAGGGATATATGTGTTTCAAAGAAATAAGGACAAATTAAAGAAAGGACAATGACAATGACAAAATATAGAATACGTACTATTTAGAGAATGCACATGATGCCTACCATGACTCAGGTCTGCTTTGTAGGTAAAAATGCAAATGTTTTGGATCTCACTACGAGAGGACTATTTATAAATAGATGTGTCCATACCCTATGAGAGGTAACTTGGATTACTGTGTTTGTTGTAGCTTTATTTTGTCAATGGTCTCATTAGTTCACCATTCTGAATACATGTTTTTGCCATGTAACTTTGCAGTGCCATCCGCACTGTCTCAGAGCTCTACCAAGTTACTTGCTTGGGAAAATATGTTATTAGTAAGTGTGATGAGATTAATGACTTGAGAGCATATGTGTGACTATCTTGCTCCTCTGTATTTACCATGAAAACATACCTGAGCTGACCTTCTGGAGGATCATACCATCCCCAGAGATGTGAGCAAGGTCAGGCAAGATCAGAAAGACACCTAGCTGAAAAGTAGTTTTCAACAGCCATGTGAACAAACACAGCTGAGATCAGCTAAGCTCAAAGAAGATCATCTGAATCCTACAAAATCATCAGCTGAATAAATTTTATTGTATACCACTGAGCTTTTGTGACCATGGAGAGCAGACACAAGTTTATACAGTAATTTATTTTCATTCATTAATTTTATTTTGTATTGTTTTGTATTGCTTTTGTTATCACACCTTTCAGCAATCAACAAAAACTAGTATAGCTATCCTGATATAAATTTGCTAAACATCGTCCATCCAATGAGTCTCCATTTAGCGCTGCTTGAGTGGGTTTTCTGTTACCTACAGCCAAAAACAGTATAAATGATGCAATCTGTGCTTTCATTCTGGAAGCAGTGAGAAAGCACTGAGTGATGGCAACACTTCAAAGTCTCACAAGTATAATAGCCAATACTTGGTCTAGATTTTCTACACATCTGCTTGACCAGAAGCAAATTTTCTAATCGTATATAATAAAAGCCTAATATGCAAATTAACTGAACGACAGAACAACTGGTGGAACAACTGGTGGAATGACCAGTTGCTATGATGCATACTGATCACCAGGGGGCAGACACTCAATGCAGGAGCTGCCCCCAGCCTGCAGGCCCTAGGCCAGCCAAGGCGGGTGCCAGCGGGGGCCCCCCCGATCACCCTACCGGTCGCCCCACAGATTGGCCCTGATCGCAGGCCAGGCCTAAGGACCCTACCCATGCGCTAATTCTGTGCAATGGGCCTCTAGTCCTATATAATAAAAGGCTAATATGTAAATCGACTGAACAGCAGAACAACTGGTCACTATAATACGCACTGACCACCAGGGGGCAAATGCTCACTGCAGAAGATGCCCCCTGGTGGTTAGTGCGCTCCCATAACGGGCGTGACACGCAGCCAAAAGCTGGGCTCCCCACTGGCAAATGCAGCAGAGAGGTGGGAGTGAGCCTAAGCCAGCAGTTGGACATCCCCCGAGGAGTCCCAGACTGTGAGAGGGTGCAGGTTGGACTGAGTGAACCCCCCCCCCCCCCCCAGTGCACAAATGTCGTGCACCAGGCCTCTAGTTTGAATATAAGTATCTTACCTTCTTGCTTTCTACTCTGAGCCAAGATTAATCGCATGAGGTTTAGCAACTTAAAGTAGGTAACAAACACTGAGATCAATATCCAGTGAGTCATATGAGGCCAGCAAAAACTTCCGTATAACCAACTTACCTTTTATATATTTGATGT